AACTATAAATATCTCTACAATTATATAAATTAATTAAATTTTGTAATTAATCTTGTGCGATGTTGAATCTAAAGAGATTATGTCCCGTAGCAAAATCAATCTTTATTATTTTCTCTCTCGCTTCTTTAGCGCCATCGTCTCGATCATTCGTTGCACGCACCAACGCTTCTCTCTCGGTGCGGCATGCAACAGGTATCCGCACTGACGTCACACATTCAGGACGAAGCGAGAGAGATATGCGACGCCCCGCCGACAAAGACAGGGCGATCAGATCGGAGACTCACCAACGGAAAAAGTACGCCAGAAGTTAGATAGAGAGAGAGAGAGAGAGAGAGTGTGTGTGTGTGTGTGTGTGTGTGAGAGCACACAGGACGCCCCGCCGACAAAGACAGGGCGATCAGATCGGAGACTCACCAACGGAAAAAGTACGCCAAAAGTTAGATAGAGAAAGTGTGTGTGTGTGTGAGAGAGAGAGCACACAGGGAGGAAGCTCGGAGAATCACACGCACATGCGAGACTCGGCCTAACTTGAAACGTCGGCTGAATTCTGCCGTCTCTTGTCTCTTTCCTTTCCGCGATCGTCCCTCCTCGTCCCGTCCGCCGCTTTGTTGGCCGACGAGCTCCGAGCTTAACTCGAACCGAGTTGTGTCACCGCGACGCGCCGTGTTACGAGGCTGTTATCCAACGCGCGCGCGAAAATATGCGACGAGCAGCGACGTATCCGTCAACGATGGTGCACGCTTATTACGCCGATAAATTCATCGAAAGAAATTAAAAATCGTTGATTGAATTTTTTCTATAAATCGTAGATGAAGGTAGAAACTCGTGGTTTTTGCCCAAAAATCAAATATCGCTTTAAAAAATAGCTACAAATTTCTGTTAATTAATATATACTTTTTCTAAAGTCTTAGTTTGTGAGAGTGTGTGTGTGTGTGTGAGAGAGAGCACACAGGGGGGAAGCTCGGAGAATCACACGCACATGCGAGACTCGGCCTAACTTGAAACGTCGGCTGAATTCTGCCGTCTCTTGTCTCTTTCCTTTCCGCGATCGTCCCTCCTCGTCCCGTCCGCCGCTTTGTTGGCCGACGAGCTCCGAGCTTAACTCGAACCGAGTTGTGTCACCGCGACGCGCCGTGTTACGAGGCTGTTATCCAACGCGCGCGCGAAAATATGCGACGAGCAGCGACGTATCCGTCAACGATGGTGCACGCTTATTACGCCGATAAATTCATCGAAAGAAATTAAAAATCGTTGATTGAATTTTTTCTATAAATCGTAGATGAAGGTAGAAACTCGTGGTTTTTGCCCAAAAATCAAATATCGCTTTAAAAAATAGCTACAAATTTCTGTTAATTAATATATACTTTTTCTAAAGTCTACGAACAATGCTTCACGGATTCTTTCGAAGAACCAGTTTTAAGAGATTCTGTAATAACGTGCCCAAGTGCGAGTGTGTTACGAAGATTGCTTAAAATTGCCAACGCGGATATAATTTCAAAGTTTTTTTTTTTTTTCTCACCGCGGCAACACTTTGCGTGAACTTCCGTCGCGCCCGCACGTTTCTATTTACAAATTCCTTCGGTCTCGTCGGGAGTCGAGAGTCCGCCGACGTGTCCGTTACTGTAATTCCGCGAACTGCTTTAACAACGTCATGAATCACGGAATGACTCCGTGCCGTCGTAATGTATGCGCGCAGAAACGAGAGATAACAGGCGCTGCCATTATTTTCGTATGCGATTATTATTCCGGACGTGACGCGACTGTGCCCGTTCATGTGAGTCGCTTCCACCCCGATAGTAATACATATCGATAACGATAGAGAGTAATAAGGGCGGGTGAATTGTATTAAGATTTAAAAAAAAAACTACTTTCTATTCCAAAAAAACGTAATATTTAAATATAAAATAAACTAGCTTCTTTCTAGAGCGAAATCAATAAAATTGGTAAAGTCGAAGTAATGAGGAGCGTTTTAATCTCTTTCTTTTAAATTTAAAATTTGAAAAAGTTTTTGTTTTTAAAATATTCCAATATCGTAATAGAGATCATAGCTATACATGTACGAAATGTTTCATGCTTCGAATCATGTTTTGTCTATGTATTTTTTGATAGAATTAGAGTTTAATTTTATGTGATAAACTGTTGAAAATAAATAAATCCTTGAAAATTAATCTTGGAAAATTTATTACAAAAGAATATATGGATGCAGAATACGTTATTAAAAAAATAAAATTTTATCTAAGTTTACTCAATAAATATTGAGTTAAAAATTGGTCAAACAATTCATAAATGTATTGTATAAATCTTGCGAATTGTTTTGAATTGCAAGTTTGACGTTTGCCTTATCTAATAGGCGAGAACAGAGAGGGTCGTGAATAGAGCACCTCCTCCTTTTCCGTCCGCGAGCGATGTAAATCTCTCCCGGGAATAGTTTAACATTAGTGCGGTCGCATCGGAGGGACGATCTCGAGCACAAGACGTGCGTTCTCGAAACAAAGTTCGTTTCGCGTGCTGCAAGTACATGGCTCGCGTGTGTGTATACGTTTGCATGTGTGTAAAATGGGGTACGTATGTACAGTAAGCGCAGTAGACCATCCCGTCTCGTCGCGGCTCAGACCTTAATGACGTCATTATCTCTAATTAGAATTCTCATAGTGGTAACCGCCGGGACGCCCCGTTACCCACCTTTCGCGATACCTGGATGGTATCGACGCTCCATTCGCGCGATATCGGGAGTTTTATTCTTGCGTGTCTCGAGGCTTTACTTCCGGCTAAACTCGACACGCTGATTTCACTTCCGAAATGTCGAGTAATTCTGAAACAGCATGCATTTTTTATCGTAACTTACAGATTCATTATATGCATCGATCTTTATTGATTGTTGCAAAAGAAAGAAATGTCGGTGTTCGATTATTATAAAAAAGTAATATGTTGTCAGTTTGACATATGGTATATTTTGTCATTTTTATTTGACATACAGACATGCTCACTAACAATAAATTCTAACGCATTTATTACTCAGAATTTGAAGAAGTCGAAATATCGGTTAGTTAGCAAATTCCCTCTCGTCGGATCATAGATCGTGTAAAACGATCCGCCGAGCATAGTCCGCGCGTGATAGCACGCCGGTAACGAGAATCGTGTATAGGATAAACTGCGGATGAGCAATCTGGCTGTGTGACCAATCGTCGACGTGCGTCGCGCGCTCGAAGTTACGTCATCGAAAATACCGTCCTCTTTTTCTCTCTCTTTCTGTCCCTCTTCCTCTCTCTTCGTCTCTCTCTCTTTCTCTGCAGGATGTAGCGATAGATGTGTATCATATCGCTGGAAAATATTCCTCTCTTCCTCCGGCACTCTCTTGCCACGCGCGCAGAAATTTGTTCGCGAAGGTCGCGACAGAAATTAATTTTGGTCGCGTTCCTCCTCTGTTCTCTCTCGTTCCGTTAATTCGATCCGTCTGATCCGATAACGGGTGTCGCAAGAGCGAAAAAACGCAGGTTAGAGCCGACACGCACATATAAGAAAACCTAGTATCGTATGTCGGTATCGCGTAGTTCGCGCGAGTCGAGTATCTTCAAGTATCTCTGTGTGCAATGCGTAATTTAACTCTAAACATGAAATATCAGGGGGATTTGCAGACTTGTTGTTAGAATTAAATTGTAGTAAAATCCGCGCACACAAACTTTCGAAAAAAAAAAAAAAAAAAAAAAAAAAAAAAAAAAAAAAAAAAATTTTTTAAGTTGAAAATTTTTTTTTTAGTACTTAATAATATT